CACTAGTCCTTGGCCCCGAGCCTGAGCAGGTTCAGGGCACATCTAACTTTCTTGGTCAGAAGGACATGAACATGTAAATAAACATCCTTCCACATCGGGGACCCACCACATAGCTTCGATACGATCCTGGGTCCCATCAAAAGTAAGGGCTTCGTGTTGTCGAAGTCCCTATACTATGAGCCCCGACTGGCTCCCACTCCTCCTCCTACCACTGTTACAGCTGATGTAGCTATTGCGACAGCCGTCTCCGCAAGGGCTGCGTATCTGTCATCAAAGTACTCAATCATGGCGGACCTAATAGTCCCAAACAACTCCAGTATCTGACCCTGGACAATCTCGACTACCTCCTCACGGATGATCTCCCTGATTCGATCATCTGTCAACACTGTCTCCTCCTGACTGATAACCTCAATGGTTATTGGGGCCTCCTGATCACCCTGCCCTGATCCCGATCCGAATCCCGACACAAAACGCCTCGTAACCACCGTACTGAAAAAACAACATGAAGATATCAGATATCCCACACAAATAACTGGCAGCTAACTCCCAATCCCAACCCTAGCGGTTGTAACTTCCTTGCTACACATATGTATCTTGTGCTTTCAGTAGTATGGGCCCATACTACCTTCCACACCTACCAATATTTGTCTCATGTATCACCAAAACACCCTAACAATATACATAAACATAGCAATGCTCAATCCTCATTCCTAGAGAAAGGCTAACTGTCTCACAACTGACCTACCGGTCTCACACAACCCACTCATCCATGAAACTTCCACCAACCCTGCAGCACTAGTGTATGCTTGCCATATATAACGTTAGACCCAATAGACTTTCGAATATCCAATCCTACCCTAAGCTCCCAATCAAACAAGAACAGAACATCAGGCTAAATCAAACATTCTAAGACTATAAGATCTTAATTATGTATAACCGTGATGCATACACTAAACATCTACAGTAATGATGTCAATTTCATATGAGGAAATCCCTAGGCTATCAGGCATCATATAATTAGGCAATCCTATCCTGCAATTCTTGAAGATCCCTAGCCTAGTACTAGCATGCTGTTCTAACATATCATAATATCAAATAACTGTATGGTATTTTGGGGTCTTCTGACTGGCTCCGATTGATTGTTCATCCTGCATCCTCCTTTACTTATTTTGAAAAGCATTTTAGAAATAATTTTGAAAACCTTTCCTTGATTTGAGACTGGATTCATACGAATGTTCCTCTAATTCACTCAAACCAAGGCTCTGATTGGCCTCCGCACAAAGCAGATAAGCCTCAATCGTCAAACAAATATGTGCACATATATATAACAGATAATTACATAATAGTCTATAGACAACAACTGATCTACCATAGCCTACCACATAGCACATAATACCATCCTATCTATCAAGATACCGATCTAATAGATCAACACATACCACGTAATATTAACCTACCCTCTAGGATATCGATCTAACAAATCATACGAACATAACATAACCAAGTAACAATCCAAAGCCTCGACCAAGGTGCCTTAGACCCTTGAGTATAGTTAGGATAACTCACCTTGCGACTGCCGACTGGAAATACAAAGCTCAACTCTTGAATCATTGCCACGAAGTCCAACACCTATAATCACCATAAAGCCCTTTTCCATAAATTTAAAAATTCACCAAAATATCCCCAGAGGTCAATTGGTCAACCCTTGGTCAAGTCAACAGCCCATGCTGACCTGACTCGTCTAGTGCAGTTCACCGACTCTTCAAGTTCTTCCTAAACTCGATAAGTCGTGAAATCCTTGATTGACTCATTCAGTTTCCTTTTAAGTCACTGAGTTCGTGTGTGTCCAAAGGTTGGGAAAACCCTAGCCGACTCACCGAGTCATAGATTAACTCGTCGAGCCCAAGGCAATCTTCATCGGACTCGCCGAGTTGTTCATCAACTCGTCGAGTTCATGAACATCTTTATATAACTCGCCGAGTCGACCTTGCGACTCGCCAAGTCCCTTTAATCCTTCATCCATACATATGCTTTTCACGCCATGCAAAGAATCCATATTGCAGATCAACAAAGATTGAAACTTTATGAAAAAGAAGGTATAAATGAGTCTAGATCTAAGATTGCAACGTCAGATCTTGACCCAAATCGGATATCCACTCCAAAACCCCAAAAAGGGATCTAAACCCATAAATGATCTAACCAAAGGGGAGTCAAGGTAACAACTAGTTATTTTCAAAACGATACCAAGACAGAGAAGATTCTGGATCTACAACAACCCCTTGCTTCACACCTCTTGAACTCCAAACTCTTTACACCAAGAATCTTCTTTCAAAATGTGAAGCACACAAAATTAGAGGGAAAGCACAAATTAGGGTTTCTGAATCCGAGGGATGCAATAATAGAGGCTTGGGAGAATAAGGGTCCTTAAATAGGGTGCCAATCCCCGAAATTTAGGGTTTCATCTGCCAGCTCCTACTCGTCAAGTCCCTCATTGGACTCGGCGAATACGTTACTAACACACGCAGACCAACCCACTGCTACTCGACGAGTAGAGAAACCAACTCCTCGAGTAGACCTTGAAAACAAGAAAATTATTAATTTAATTCAATACCTGAGTATCGAGGGGTTACAAAAATACTGAATATACATTTATAATCTTATCTTTTTTATGTTACATAGATCTAGTTGTGTGAAGCAAATTTTTCATTTACATGTATTTAGTATTATATTTTTTTTGACGTATACCATTTCATTGGTTAAGTAAAATAAAAAAACCAGCAAAACCAATATCGTAAAATCTTAGAATAGTTTCATTTTTGGCGATTAGTTCTCGTTAGGTGGCCAACGATTAGTTTCCTCTCGTGTGATTCTATGGTATTTTTTTAACGTATATCATTTTATTGGTTAGTAAAAAAATTAAACCATCAAAACCAATATAAAAAATTTTAAGAATATTTTTTATTTTTTGCGATTATTTCTCGTTAGGGGACTGGCGATTAGAATCCACTCGTAGGATTATGTTGTAATTGTCCTGTATGACTATTAATTTCTATTAATTACTAACACGTTACAGAAATTATAGATTTTCACAAATATGTAATATTTCTTACTTAATATCATTGGATTCCATTTATATATATATATATATATATATATATATATATATATATATATATATATATATATATATATATATATATATATATCGAAAATTAATAATTTAAGTCACTTATGTATAAGACGCATCATAATATAAAATAAATAGATGTTATACTAGATATAAAATAAAATAATAACACATGGTATATGCAAATAATAAAATGGAAAGAAAAAATTTAAGAATCAACATTCATTATAAAAATTATAGATTTTGTTGTAACATTCATTATACAAATTTAAGAATTAACATTCATTAACACATGGCGATTAGAATCCACTCGTGGTATTCTGTTGTAATTGTCCTGTATAACTATTAATTTCTATTAATTACAAACACATTATACAAATTATAGATTTTCACGAATTTGCTATATTCTTAGTTAATATCATTATTTTCCATTAATGTTTCTCTTTATATATATATATATATATATATATATATATATATATATATATATATATATATATATATATATATATATATATATATATATATGTTGAAAATTAATAATTTAAGTCACTTATGTATAAGACGCATCATCATATAAAATAAATACATGTTATACCGAATATAAAATAAAATAATAACACATTGTATATGCAAAATATAAAATAGAAATCACAAATTTAAGAATTAACATTCAATAGAGACTAATATTTTCAACTACTTGAGATTTTAATAAAATATTTTGTACATCATATAACATCAAAGTTATATATTTATTATTTTGGTCGAAACCAACTTAAAACATTTTTTAAGTTGAAAAATACATCTAACATTATAAGTTCATCCTTCAAAATTTCATGTTTTCTTATTAAATTATTCAAGTGTAGATTGACTTGGGTTTTAACAACGACATGTTTGAATTAAATCTATTTTTTCTTTAGTTAAATATGTTATAAACATTATTAACTAAATAATAAATATAAAGAGAAGCTATTTAACAATTAGAATATCATAGTTGATATATTAATAGAAACCGTAATTTGCAATATAAAAATCATAGTTTTAAATTAATATTTCCTAACGTGATTACATAAATATTGGTATACACCAAAGTTTGTTACACTTTTCAAGATAATATTAGAGGAGACCTTTAAAGGTCAATAAGAAATTATACCAACATTGTTTGAGTGTCAAAACATATTGATGAAAATCAAAAATTGATGAGGGGATTGTGGCATTTAGAGAGAAAGAGATGGAGGAAAGGGGATAGGATGTTAACTTTTTTTCTATTTTCTTTTAGGTGCTGAAATATTAAATAAAATGAAAATAAAACAAGAAGGAAAAATCAGGTGTTAGGGTCTGTTAAATTTTTTAGGAACCTAAATTACACAAAAAAAAATTATATATTTTTGAAAAAGCTGGGCGTCGAAAAAAAATTGGACAGGAAGTGCACCGTTTTGTGATCCAATTAGAACATGTTTTCAGTTTACTGTAAATAAATGTCAATTAAACCTTTATTTGATATAATGGCCATGATCATTTATTTATAATTAAAATACATGTATATTAAAATAAAACCATTTCTTGTGAAAATAAAAATAAATAAAATAAAGATATAAAATAATTTTGCCTTCTTAAACATAATCTTAAAAGGCACTTCATTAATAGCCAGACGTCTACTTCCATTTTTAGCAATCACAACACCAATATTTCCACAAATAGTCCTGCCAAAGTCACATCCTTTCAGGTAGAAAACAAGCTTGTAACCATCCTCATACTTTTCTATCTTAAACCAGTTATTGATGGTTTCCTGACTAGGGTTTCCTGCTACTCCATAACCAGTTGTGATAAGTTGTCCATCGTACTCCTTGAGATTCCAAACATCCGACTGAATTCAGGTCGATGCACCAAGGAATATAATGTTTAGATCTGTTGATTCTCGAATGACACCTTTCTTAGGGTTTACCGGTGTAAATGTTAGTGGCATGCCATTATCTAATTCTTGATTGGCTTGGACAATGTCAAGTGGGCATGACTCATTTCTCGTGGAGCCATGTGTAACACCACCACCCATTCCTCTGATCACGGGCAAGATGTCGTACTTTGTACCAGAACGCACCTTGTGCCCATCAAGGTCTCGAACTTGAGATGGAGATGGTTGGCCCATTGAAAGGGAGATTATGGAGAACATAAGTAGTAACAAAATTTTCATCTTGGTTGGTTGATTTTATATAGCCTTATTGATAAATTTGAGGTGTGGTTTAAGTTTGATGGAGATAACACTATTTATAATGGGGAACAAATCGGTATGCATTTGGGAATGGTTATAGGCTACACGTAACTGCTTAGACAAGTCAGACAATCCAATCTCATTAAAGCTATGTGTTAATGTGCCAAATATATTAAATACAATTTGACCACATAATATAAAGCCGATTGGGTTTTATAAATGCACTATGGTCAAAACGTTTTTAACGTATATCATTTTATTTCTTAGGTAAAAAAAATTAAACCATCAAAACCGATAAAAAAAATTTAAGAATATTTTTATTTTTGGTGATTAGTTCTCTTTAGGGGATTGGCGATTAGAATCCTCTCGTGGGATTTTGTTGTAATTGTCCCGTATGACTATTAATTTCTATTAATTACTAACATGTTATAGAAATTATAGATTTTCACGATTTTGCTATATTTCTTAGATAATATCATTATTTTCCATTAATGTTTCTTTTATATATATATATATATATATATATATATATATATATATATATATATATATTGAAAATTAATATTAAATAACTTGTGTATGAGACATATCATAATATAAAATAAATACATGTTATACGAAATATAAAATAAAATAATAACACATGGTTTATGCCAAATATAAAATGGAAATCACAAATTTAAGAATCTTCCTTCATTCATACAGATGCTTTTCAGGCCCCTTACTTCACACCTCTTGAACTCCAAGAATCTTCTTTCAAGATGAGAAATACACAAAATTAGAAGGAAAGCACAAATTAGGGTTTCTGAATTCGAGGGATGCAATAAGAGAGGCTAGGGAGAATAAGTGGTCCTTAAATAGGGTGCAAATCCCTGGAATTTAGGGTTTCATCTAGTAGCTCCTACTCATCGATTCCCTCATTGGACTCGGCGAGAAGGCTACTAAAACACGTGGACGAACCTACTGCTACTCGACGAGTAGGGAAACCAACTCGTCAAGTAGACCTTGAAAACAATACAATTCTTATATTAATTGAATACCTAAGAATTGGGCATTAAAATTCTCCCCCACTTCAACTAGACTTTGTCCACAAAGTCTGCTGCGACGAACAATTTCGGATAGTGCTCCCGCATTTCTACCTCTGGATCCCAAGTCCACTCGGACCCTCTCCAATACCCCCACTGCACCTTTACTAAAGGTATCTCCTTGTTCCGTAGAACCTTCCTCTTCCTCTCCAGAATGGCCACGGGCCTCTCCACATAATTCAGGTGCTCATCAACCTGAATATCATCCAACGATACTACCACCTCCTTATCCATAATGCATTTTCGCAACTGCGAAATGTGGAAAGTGTTGTGGATCCGACTAAGCTCCTCTGGTAGCTCTGGCCTGTAAGCCACCTTGCCAACTTCGGCAATGATCCTGAACGACTCGATGTAACAGGGACCCAATTTCCCCTTCTTCCTAAAGCGGATCACAACCTTCCATGGTGAGACTTTCAGGAGTACCCTATCGCCCACCTGAAACTCCAACTCAAGTCGGCGTCTCTTAGCGTAACTCTTTCGTTGACTCTGGGCGGTCTGCAGACGCTGCCTAATCTGCTGAATCTTCTCGGTAGTCTGCAATACTACCTCTGTCCGACCTATCACCCTGTATCCGACCTCACCCCAACAAACTAGGGTGCGATATCTCCGTCCATACAACAGCTCGAAAGGTAGGACGCTAATGTTGGAATGCTAGTTGTTGTTGTAGGCGAACTTTGCAAGCGGTAGGTGGGAATCCCAACTCCTACAGAAATCAATGAAACACGCCCTCAGCATATCCTCGAGGGTCTGAATGGTACGCTCGCTCTGACCATCTGTTTGCGGATGAAACATTGTGCTAAAGTGCAATCGCATGCCCACCTCCTCGTGGAACTTCTGCCAAAAACGAGAGGTAAACCTAACATCCCGGTCGGAGACAATGGAGACCGGAACCCCATGGTGAGCCACGATCTCGCATACGTACACGTCAGCCAACTTCTTGGCTTATGAACTCTCCCATATGGCCAAGAAATGGGCATTCTTGGTTAATCAATCAACAATGACCCAGATGGCATCAAACCCCTTTTTCATTCTCGACAACTTGGCAATAAAATCCATAGTGATCTGTTCCCATTTCCACATGCGAAGCTCCAGGGGTTGTAGCTTGTCGTGCGGCCTCTGATGCTCGACCTTGACCATCCTACAGATCAAGCACCTCTCGACATACCAAGCGATTTCTCGCTTCATGCACAGCCACCAGTAGCTCAAACTCAAATCCCGGTACATCTTGGTGGCCCCCGAGTGTATAGAGAAGTGATAATTATGAGCCTCCTCTATGACTATCTGTCTGACCCCACCAAACATCGGAACCCACACCCGAATGCATCAGGTTAATAATCCTCGGCTATCCTGCACAAACTGGTTATTCTCACCCTTGATCCTTTCCAACTTCCAGTTCTCATGCCGCATGCCCTCGACCTGAGCATCTCTGATCAAACTCACAAGCGGGGAATCCACTGATATCCTCACATATATCATTGGGGTAGAAGTCCCAGCTGACTTGTGGCTCAGAGCGTCCGCCACCACATTCGCATTACTAGAGTGGTAAAGGATCTTGTAATAGTAGTCCTTGACTACATCCAGCCACCTGCGCTGCCTCATATTCTGGTTCGGCTGATCCATGATATGTCTCAAGCTCTTGTGATCCATGTAAATGGTACGACGGACCCCATAAAGGTAATATCTCCATATCTTAAGGGCGAACACCACCGCCCCCAGCTCTAAATCATGCTTAGGGTATCTCGTCTCATGCGGCTTCTACTGCCATGATGCATAGGGTATCACCCGTTCCCTCTGCCATGAGGACCGCCCTAAACCTATGATGGATGCATCACATAACACCACAAAATCCTCAACTTCCTCCGGGAGTGTCAAAACCAGAGGCTCAGACAACCGCTAATGGAGGGTCTCAAAAGCCTTCTGCTACTCAGGGCCCCACCAAAAAGTCACCCCTTCCTTGTCTGAAGAGTGAGGTGTACTGCTATCTTGGAGAAATCCTGAATGAATCTCCGGTAGTACCCTACCAATCCAGGAAAACTCTTGATATCTGAGGGAGATTTCAGAACCTCCCACTGCCTAACTTCCTCGATTTTGGCCGGGTCGACAAAAACCCCATCCTAATTAACGAGGTACCCGAGGAAATGGACCTCTCGTCACCAAACTCGCACTTCGAGAACTTGACGTATAACCGCTCTCATCTCAAAACTCCCAACAACTCCCTAAGATACTCCTCGTGCTGCTCTCGAGTCTTGGAATACACCAAGATATCATCTATAAACACGATGACCGAGCGATTTAGCATCGGTCTGTAGACCCGGTTCATCAGGTCCATAAATACTACCGGTGCGTTGGTGAGCCCAAACGACATCACCACGAACTCGTAATGACCATAATCTAACAAAATGATTTTCAAACAAAAATTTTCATTTTTATTATTAATAAAAACACATGTCTCAACATTAATTCTCAAAAACTCAATACAAGTTTTCAAAACAATTGTTCAAATCCAGGATCCACAAATATAACTCCAAATCCCAAGTGTGTGTACAATCACACCGGTGCCTTCCCGCGATCCTCTGGGGTACTTGAAACACATAACACATAACACAGTAAGCATGAATGCTTAGTGAGTTCTCCAAAATACCACATCCAACAATTCGCCACTCGAGGCTATACTCTATACAACCCTTTGGTCAGTGTGTCACGATGCGACCCTCTAGTCCCGTAGCTCGTTGGACCCTCCGGCCCGGTCTGGTTGGGCCTTTTGGCCTCATAAATTGTTAGACCCTCCGGTCCGTTCTAAATGGCACATAGCATATAAAATCACAATATACATAATCTCAAACAAACACATATGACCTTCCGGTCGACATATAGATACTACCTTAGGTAATGTACAGTTAGAAGACTCACATCGGTAAACTCAAATGATCTCGAACTCAAAACACTAATCTAGCCTCCACCTAATCATACACAAAAATTATCTCAAATTAATAATGGTTCTCAAAGGCTAGCTGATACCTCATATGCTCTTTCAGAAGGGTAAAAGACCATTCTACCCCTCCAATGGTCCAAAAGTCCACTTGTTGAGTAAACCCTAAAAGTCAATGAAAGTCAACCCTAAGGAGTACGCGGCGCGTACTCGATCCCTACACTGGGCGTACTTGACCACTATGCAGATTATAGACTGATTTCACCCTACGCCCCGCGTACTGGGATTTATGCTCAGGGTATGTCCCAGTTTCACTATTAACATATTTATGGTCTTAATCAGTTAAGACCTTGGCTCAAAATACAAATCTGGACCCCCTACAGCCTCCTAATCCATAAAGTCAAGGACTTTACGCCCCTGCATGGCTGTAAAGGTCATCATCAACCAAAACACACCACTTTCTTCAATAAAGAGATCATATCTCATGCATGGCTTAGTATTAACGTCCAAGTTCGGATTTTTATGGATCTATAACACTTAATACACTGAATAAGGACATATCAAGGTATATGGAGCTCCCTTTGCTCATAAAGTCTCCACCTTTGTGATAAAAAAAACACTAGAAACAACCCATAATGCACAAATCAAAAAGATTGAGAAAACTTTGAGCTTTTTACCTCCAACTGATGCTCCAACCTCTGAAAAGCTCAGATCCAAGGCTTGCACACCAACTCTAGCTTCTTTAATGACACCTTCTTCTCTTCAAAGGCACACAAGAACACTACCAAGCTCAAACACACACACACACACAAGGTCTAAAATGAGGGTTTGGCATACTTAGGGCTTTGCTCTATAGAAATGGTGGCTAAAAGCAAGGCCAAAATGTTTCTTGTATAGGGATCACCCCCACAAATAGGGTTTCCATCTGGACCTAGTACGCCCAGCGT